TTTTTTTGGTTAAATCTAAGTTGCATTGGGGTTTTGGAGGATTTGCTGCTGTGAGGCCTAATGAGTTCTCTTGCCCTATTTCATCAAACATGCTTCATTAATTACCTAACATGCCCCGATGGTACCTTCTGCATTTTATCTCTGCTCCAGCTTTACCACATGCTTTCTCACAACAGCTCGCCACTCAGTGGGCATGTCAGAATTCATTGGGATTCCTTACAGCCATGCTGTTTTTCAAAGCCATTGTGCACCTGGATAAGCACTGTCAGGCTGGAACTGCCCTGCATGTTTCCTGATATTTACCCTGGAAATGATGGAGAGAGGGAAATTCTTGCCTTGTTGTGCAGGCAGGGAACTGGAGATCCCTACTGGACAGGATGGTGCACAAGCAAGACTTCTTCTTCCCCCAGAACTTGGAGTGGAGGCCACGACATCAGCGCACTGTGAAGGGTTAGTATTCTCTACTAACACAGATTTGCTCAAGTTCCTGCCTCTCTCTAAAGCCAGAGTTCCCCATCATTTCCGGTATGTTATTTGTGTCCTCCTTTGTGATGAGAAGATTGCCAACCAGGTTGAAATGGTCTCAGCCATCATAGGAATGTCCAGCTCTGTAGAAAGAACGTCAACATCCTTCTCCACTCCACCAGGGTAAGTGCCACAATCATGTCTCTGATACTCCACACTCACTGTATTTCTGCTACTGGACCCACGTCCGACCAAGGCTCACGCTCTACCACTGTCACTATTTCTTGCAACATCTTCCCCACTCGCTGTCATTCCAACCCATCCAGGTAGGCTCAGAGTGAGTGAGCACTGTGACAGCCAGTGAACAGCCCAGCGATGCAGCCTTGTCCAGTCCATGAGCTGGGTGCATGTCTCTGAGCGTACAATGTCCTTGCTGCAACATTACAGCATTGAAGTGCAGTAGCTTACTCTAAGTGGATTGGAGATGTGTCATGAACTTTCTTATGGTTGGCAAATGTAGCATGTTAATGTCCATAGAAGTGCGGTGCTTGTGACTGGTGCGTATGGACAGCGTCCTGAGATGTTAGTACCTGATTTCCAACATGGACATCACTCAGAGCAAGTAACGAGTTGAATCTTCCTGGCTTCCTTGTTGAGTTTTCCCAATGTCCGGCTTGTGTGGCAAATTCGTTCAGATGGGAGTCTGAATATTACGAGGAAAGTTCTGGTATCAACAAGGCATTTAACAAGCAATAATGATCACCAGTTGGCATTTCTCCATATTGGACAATTCTGTATCTCATCACAGGCCACATTGCCTGAGACTCCTTTAAGTTTCTGCCCATGAAGACTGTTGCAAATTTTGTGTCTCAGGACAATGCAGAGATGGCATAGCAGTAACATCTACAGTTTGTTTACATTTTAGTGAGTCCACTTCCAGACTTAAACAATTAGGCACGGTGCACATCAATAATGAATAGACTCACAATCAAACACAATGGTTGAACTCTACAAAGACCAATGAAATACATCTGACAACACTGTAATAACAAATGTTTCCAGTTATGGGTCACTGTTGGATATTCAAAGTGGATGGGCCTCCTACTGTTACTAATTTCAATTTGGAAGATTAAATGAACACACAGCTTGACTAAAATTACACAAGATTGCAATGCTGAGTCTACCCAGACAACCACCATTTAATATTTGAGTCAATATAAATGTCAGATGCAAATGCTTGCATGGAAGATAAAGCAGAAAGTCTGTCGAGGAAAGCACAGGTATGTTGCAATTCAATCTGTGCTCTCTCTTTTATCTATATTTCTCCTTTACTTTTATTTCTCCTGCCACTAAAGAGAGAAAAATCCTGTGATGTAAATCCCAGTTTGTATGCTTTACATTCTCTTCAAATTAAAGTTTTACACTACATCTGTTCTGACCTCCATTTGGCTATCTGGTCAGGACCAGAGACATCATATAACCAAAAAATCTTGTAATCCTTTCCCATAGTTTCAAGTGAATGCACATTTCTATTTTCTGCTTTTCGATTTAGCCCCAAAGCCTTGAAGGGTATGAGACTTGATCGTAGAACCTTCAACTCTCAAAGTCTTGCTTTCAGACGTCTGCATCCCTTCATCTCCTATTATAGTCTAAGGGGAAATCTTTCCATTTGAGTTGAAAAGAAAAGTAACAAAATGCAGGAGATCTAAAGTTAAGCTGAAGATCTACAATAGGTCAGTTTGCCTCTGAAAGAGGTGGATGTTCCCAATGGACCCTTCTTTTGAATCCTTCTGATGACAGGTACCATTTGAAACTTTTCTGAATATGTTCACCCAAACCCATTAACATTACAGTTGCTGTATATTATATTTTGTTTTCACTGATGTTAAACCTTGTTAGCTTAACATTTGCTGCAATCTGTTTTGTATTTCCTCAGGTTTTCTACAAAATATACAGCAGCACTTTCCGTCTTTATTCTGCATGAATTTTATATTTCCAATTTTCATTTAAATTACTGGGCAAATATGACTGGGTCTTTTTTGTCATACTTTCAGTCAACACTGTTGCTTGCATATTGGGTTCTGGTTTAGGTAGTTTCCGGTTACCAACCCTCCTTCCTGTATGTTGAACCTTGGGCCTTTAAGTATCAGTGGTTGACAATAGACCACTGGTGAATCTAAGCAGAAGATGAATTTGTTTTAGGTACCAAAGCCATTTATTACCTGATAGTAACAAGTATAATTTGCATTAACTTGCTAGACATTATTACAAAAACTCAGAAGCTCTCTTTTCGTACTTGGGCAGAACTCAACTATGTCCATCTGAGGACTGTGGACTGTGTGAAATCATCTGACTGTGGGTCTCTGCGCAAGCTTTATCCCCATAGGTAACTATTAGACATTCAGGTATACAGCTACTTTTTATATTTTCCACCATCTGATCTCTGCCCTGCACCCACCAAGTCTCCAACTTCACAAATATTGAAACATAGAAGACAGGAACAGGAGTATGCCATTCTACCTCTCCCAGCCTGCACTGCCATTCATATGATCTTGGCTGATCATCGAGCTCAATACCCTACTCCCATCCTCCCCCCAGATCTCTTGAGCCCTTTAGCCACAAGAGTTATATCTATAGCTTCCTGAAAACACAATGTTTTGGTCTCAACCACTTTCTGTGGTAGTGAATTCTACAGGTTCAACACTCTCTTGATGAAGAAATTCTCCTCATCTCAGTCTTAAAAGGTTTATCCCTTATTCTTAAACTACCAGCCCTGGTTCTGGAATTCCCCTCCATCAGGAACATCCTCCCTGCATCAAAAACAAAGTTGCTGGAAAAGCTCAGCAGGTCTGGTAGCATCTACGAAGGAAAAAACAGATCCGGTGACCCTTCCTCAGAACCCTTCCTGTATCTAACCTGTCTAGTTTTTTTAGAATTTTATAGGTTTCTATGAGATGCTCCCTCATTCTTCTCGTCTCCAGTGAATACATCCTAACTAACTCAATCTCTCCTCATATATCAGTCTTGCTATCCCAGGAATCAAATTAATAAACCTTCTGTGCACTTGCTCTATAGCAAGAGCAGCCTTCCTCAGATAAGGAGACCAAAACTGCGCACATTATTCCAAACGTGGCCTCACCCATGCCCTGTATAAGTACAGAAAGGCATCCTTGTTCCTGTACTCGAATCCTCTCGCTATGAAGGCCAACATACCGTTTGCCTTCTTTACTGCCTGCTGCACCTGTACGCTTACTTTCAGTGACTGGTGCACAAGGACATCCAGGTCTCATTGAACATTCCCCTCTCTCAATTCACAGCCATTCAAATAAACATCTGCCTTCCTGTTTTTGCTACCAAAGTGGATAACCTCACATTTATCCACATTGTACTGCATCTGCCATGCATTTACCCACTCCTTCAGCCTGTCCAAATCACACTGTGACATCTCTGCATCCTGCTCACAGCTCACCCTTCCACCCAGCTTTGGATCATCAGCAAATTTTGAGATATTACATTTAATTCTCTTGTCTGAATCATTAAAATATGGGGTCCTGGTCTGATCCCTGCTGTAACCCACCAGTCATTGCCTGCCACTTTAGGATTGAACAAAAAATCCCCATCATCTAAAATACTTGACAAGCCCATGGACTTCCCTAGTATCTAAAATACTGGGCAAAATCCTGACCTCAGGCTACAACAAACACACACACAGTCAGAATGATTTCAGTCTGGGACTATTGTTCACACTGGAATTCCAATATAGAGATAGTAAGAACTGCCGATGCTGGAGTCTGAGATAACACAGTGTGGAGCTGGAGGAACACAGCAGGCCAGGCAGCATCAGAGGAGCAGGAAAGCTGACGTTTCGGGTCAGGACCCTTCTTCAGAAAATGAAGAAGG